GTGTGTGTGTGTGTGTTGAGACAAGTCTTGCTCTGGTACTCAGGCTGGAGTATAATGGCACGAGCTCAGCTCACCACAACCTCCCCCTCCCAGGTTCAAGCAATTCTCCTGCCTCAGCCTCCTGAATAGCTGGGACTATAGGTGCGTGCCACCATACCCAGATAATTTTTGTATTTTTAGTAGAGACAAGGTTTCACTATGTTGGCCAGGGTGGTCTCGAACTTCTGACCTTATGATCCACCTGCCTCGGCCTCCCAAAGTGCTGGGATTAACAGGTGTGAGCCACTGCACCAGGCCTAGTTTGGCTTTTTAAATGCCATCTTCAGTTTACTTCACATTACTAATTTAACAGGGCAACCACATTAATAACAAAACTTAATAGGAAACTATTGTTCACTCAGGTATTTGGTTATACAGCAATCTGGGCAAACAGGTAGTAAACCCTGCAGGTGAGTCAGGAACCTGTTACAAAGGGCAGGGTTATCTGTAGACAGAAACCAGCAGCCTTATCTTCCTAAAATAAGTTTGTATAAGACACCTTGGAAATAATGCCTGGGAAGTTCAATTTGCTTAGCAATTTTATTCCATCTTCACTCCATTAGACAGTATCAGTGTTTTTGCTAGAAGACTGGATTTTCTTTTGTCATTTTTGTGCTTTATATTTAGCAACATGATGGTATTCTTTTAACTATGTGGGTTTGTTTTCATTTTACATTGACTTTCGTTTTTTCTTGTTTTCTTCTCCTATTTGTTACTTCTCCTGAGTTGTCTTCCTTTTTGTGTGTTGTGTATGTTTCGCTATGCTTCCTCTTTTCTTCTTCTGCTTTCCCAGAAGATCTTGTCCGTAGAAATGAGTAAGGACTGGGTACTTTCAGTCACTACATTTATGTATTCAGCAGTACATTTATCTGGTACAAAAAGGAAATTCTATTGCATCACATACTCTTAGCTTCCTTTTATGAATTTAGATTTTATAAAACAATACGTTCCAAAGAGGTAATACCAAGCACTGATGATTTTTTTCTTCCCTGAGACTTCTCAGTTGGGGTCATACTATTTCCTCTCATCTTAGCCCAATTTCTGCGGCTATAACAAAATACCACAGATGGGGTAATTTGAGAGACAGAGAGGCAAGATGGTAGCCAAACGTACCCAGTTATTAGGAACCCACTCCTGCAATAACTGACAGTAGTCCTCATGACCTAATCGCCTCTTGAAGGTCTCGACCCTCAACACTATTACAATGGCAATTACATTTAACATGTGTTTTGTGTGTGGGGGGGAAGGCGGGTACATTCAAATCACAGCAGTCCTCAGAATAAGCAACTTGAAATTTTTTTTTTTTTAAGAGGAAGTCTCACTCTGTTGCCCAGGCTGGAGTGCCATGACACAATCTCGGCTCACTGCCACCTCCACCTCCCGGGTTCAAGTGATTATCCTGTCTCAGCCTCTCAAGTCGCTGGGATTGCAGGCATGTGCCACCACGCCCGGTTAATTTTATTTTATTTTATTTTTATTTTTATTTATTTATTTATTTTTTGAGACGGAGTTTCGCTCTTGTTACCCAGGCTGGAGTGCAATGGCGCGATCTCGGCTCACCGCAACCTCTGCCTCCCGGGTTCAGGCAATTCTCCTGCCTCAGCCTCCTGAGTAGCTAGGATTACAGGCACGCGCCACCATGCCCAGCTAATTTTTTGTATTTTTAGTAGAGACGGGGTTTCACCATGTTGACCAGGATGGTCTCCATCTCTCGACCTCGTGATCCACCCGCCTCGGCCTCCCAAAGTGCTGGGATTACAGGCTTGAGCCACCGCGCCTGGCCTAATTTTATTTTTAGCAGAGATGGGATTTTACCATTTTAGCCAGGCTAGTCTCAAACTCCTGCCCTCAAGTGACCCACCAACCTTGGCCTCTCAAAGTGCTGGTATTACAGGTGTAAGCCACCATGCCCAGCCTGGAAGGAAAAACCTTTCACATTCCTACATTATCAATCACAGCACAGTGTTGTGCTTGCTTGCTTTCTTCTTTCTCTTTCTTTCTTCCTTTCTTCTTCCTTCCCTTCCTCTTTTTTTTCCTTTCTTTTCTTTCTTTCTTTCTCTCTCTCTCTCTCTCTTTCTCTCTCTCACTCTGTCTCTCTTTCAGAGTTTTGCTCTGTCATCCAGGCTGGCACAATGTCACTCACTGCAGCCTCTACTTCCTGGGTTTCCTGGGTTTAAGCAATTCTCCTGCCTCAGCCTCCCAAGTAGCTAGGACTACAGGTGTATGCCACCCTGCCCGGCTAATTTTTGTGTGTGTGTTTTTTTTTTTAGTAGTCAGGAGTTTCACCATGCCAGCCAGGCTGGTCTCAAAACTCCTAACCTCAAGTGATCCACCTACCTCAGCCTCTCAAAGTGCTGGGATTATAGGCATGAGCCACCACACCCAGTCAATCACGGTGTTTTCAAAGTGTTAGTCACTTGCCTCAGATTCACCTGGGTGCTGGCACAAATGCATATTCATAGGATGAAGCTCAGAAATCTGGTTTTTAACAAGCTCTCTAGATGATTCTTCTGGGCACCAATGTTTGAGAATCATGGGGGTAGCACTATGTTTAGCAAATAATAGGTCCTTAATAAGTATTTGATGGTGATATACTACGCCTTTACTAAATTCCAAATGTCTCTCATGTGCTACACTTTCTCCTGTGCCTTACTTAACCTTGTGTTTTCAACCACTGCCTACTCCTTGAGTTTTTTTCATTCCACATTAATTCAGAACTAAGTCATCTACTGGACACCTCCAATCCTGTCATTATGTTACTGTTATCTCAGAAGTCATGTTTGGAGTCACTTGTTTGTTTTTTATCATTTTTATAAACTGAAATAGACAGTGATGAATACCACAGATATGGGTCATACTTTGAAGGATGGTAAAGGCAGTTTTACAGAGAGTAATTACACTTTATTCTATCAGCTCCTTAGTATTTTTCTCAGAATACTCCCTTACTTTCTTTGTTACCATCCTAATCTAGAATCTTATCATTTATGCTTGAACTGCCTTTTTTCCCCAGTCTCTTTGTTCCTAATTTCCCACCTCTTCTGAAAGATTAATCTCCTGAAAAACTAACCTTTAAAACATTATTGTTTTTACCCCACTTAATGCCTTATTTCTGTTCAAGCTGTCATAATCAAAATGTAATTACATGGGCTCAGTGGTACACACCTGCAGTCCCAGCTACTTGGGAGGCTGAGGCAGGATGACTGCTTGAGCTCAGGAACTTGGGGGCTGTACTGGGCTACAGTCTTGCCTGTGAATAGCCGCTGCATTCCAGCCCCAACTCTTAAACAAAAGCAGGGGAGTCACTAATATACATTTTTTAAAGCCCTGAAAAATAGATTCAGAGGTCACAAAGAGAGTGGTCTCATGCTTGCACACCTGACGACAAAAACTATCACAAAAAACTGCAAAAACCACTTTTTTTTTTTTTTTAGACAGTCTTGCTCTGTCACCCAGGCTGGAGTGCAGTGGTGTCATCTTGGCTCACTGCAACCTCCACTTCCTGGGTTCAAGCGATTCTCCTGCCTCAGCCTCTTGAGTAGCTGGGATTACAGGTGTGTGCCACCACACCTAGCTGATTTTTGTATTTTTAGTAGAGACAGGGTTTCACTATATTCGCTAGGTTGGTCTCAAACTCCTGACCTCAGGTGATCCACTCATCTTGGTCTCTCAAAGTGCTGGGATTATGGGTGCGAGCCACGGCACCCAGCCAAAAGTCACAATCTTACATAAAAAATACTTCCGTAAAAACATCTGCCCAGCAACTTCCTGTCCAGTCTCTCACTGGTGTTACCTTGTTACTGATCTTTGCAGCCAAGGACAATGGTTTAAAAACAATTATGTAATTCTCATTTAAAAAAATTTTAAAAACTTTTGTCTTCCTTTACCTCCTTGAATATGCACAGTTTACTAAGTCATGAGAATTTTCACAATACTTTATTCCCAAATAAATATCTAAGAATCATAGAATGATTGAATTGAAAAGGATAAAATCACACAGTTTAGTTGTTTCTAACTTCCCTTACAATGTGGCAAATAAATTTTTTTTTCTTTTTTTGTGAGACAGGGTCTCTGTCCCACAGGCTGGAGGGCAGTGGTGTGATCCCGCTCCCTACAGTCTCAACCTCCCCATCTCAGGTAGTTCTCCCACGTCAGCCTCCCGAGTAGCTGGGACTACAGGCCTGCTCCCATCATGCCCAGCTAATTTTTTGTACTTTTTGGAGAGACGAGTTTTCACTGCGTTGCCCAGGCAGGTCTCCAACTCCTAGGCTCAGGTGAATCCTCTCCCCTCGACCTCTTTAAAGTGCTGGGATTACAGACGTGAGCCACTGCGCCCACCTATAATCTAATTTCAATATTCTAAAAAAGCCTACCAGAAATGGTATATTTTCGGGTGGTATTAAATGCCAGGTTTCCTTGTTTCGTGCTAGAATTATATCAGATTGAGTAAAATCTGTTTTCCCCCATTATTGTTATGTTCAATGTGGCAAAGAGCTTTTCAAAATACAGGAGCGAAGTCGTGGTCGAACTAATAAAATTGGTAACACCTACTACAATGTTTGCAATTTGCAGAAAACTTCATTGACTTCAATCTTAACTTATTCCTCACAAAGCTGTGGAATCACCTTCAGTAGAGCAGGAGAGGCGTTGGCTCAATGCAGTGCTGTTTGCAACCGCTCGAAGCTTCTGGGTTCTTTCCGTGCGTCTCCAGCTTACAGCACCTTCTTTCCGCGCTTCGGAAGCACCTGCCCACCCCTCAGGAGACAGACACAGCTCCTTCCCGTTCCCGAACGCGGTACGTTCGCGCGCATGCGTGATACGGCGACTCCGCGCCTGCGCGGATATTCTCCGCTTGGGGCGGATACCCAGGCTAACCCGTGAGTGTCCACGCCCGGCGCGCGCGTGCGCAGCCGGTTTTTGAGGGTTTCTCCCCCTACATCAGCGTCTTTGAAACCACTCCATCGCCTCTATCATTCATTCTACTTTCCTCAACCCTTTCACTGCATGAAGACGGCCTACCCCCTGGCACGTCACGAAAGAAAACGGTTTGGGACGGAGAGACTCCCTTTGCCAGGGAGCCCCGTCCTCGAGGGCGTGCCTTCGGTGTCTCAGCGCAGCCCGGTTGCGTCCCCAGTTGTATCCCCCGCCGCGCCCGCCCCTTCCGCCGCTCGCGCGCGCGCGCACGGTCGGCCACGGCGCGCCGGGGTTGGCTGCGGCGGGGACCGCGGCGGCGGCGGCGGCCCGGACAGCCGTGGTGCCTTCTACTCCCCTTTTTAGTTTCTTCCGCCCCCTCCCGTCGGACGCTGTGGTGTGGCTGCCTTGAAAAAACGCAACTTTATTGTTCCTCGGCCCGACCTCCCGGCGCGGCGGGCGTCCTCAAGATGCACTGGGGCTGAGGGGAGGGGAGGCGGCGGAGGGTCGAGGTCGCGGTCCCTCTCCTCCGAGCGCCGGGCCGGAGGGGAGGGAGTCACGATGTCTGGGAGCCGCCAGGCCGGGTCGGGCTCCGCTGGGACAAGCCCCGGCTCCTCGGCGGCCTCCTCGGTGACTTCCGCCTCCTCGTCCTTATCCTCTTCCCCGTCGCCGCCTTCCGTGGCGGCTTCGGCTGCGGCGCCGGTGTCGGGTGGGGCGGCCCAGGCCGCCGGCTCCGGCGGCCTCGGGGGCCCGGTGCGGCCTGTGTTGGTGGCGCCGGCCGTGTCGGGCAGCGGCGGCGGGGCGGTGTCCACGGGCCTGTCCCGGCACAGCTGCGCGGCCAGGCCCAGTGCCGGCGTAGGAGGCAGCAGCTCCAGCCTGGGCGGCGGCAGCAGGAAGCGACCTCTGCTCGCCCCCCTCTGCAACGGGCTCATCAACTCCTACGAGGACAAAAGCAACGACTTCGTATGGTGCGTTTGAAGAGCATTGCCTCCTTGTGCTTAAATGATGCGTTTCTGCCGCCTAGGCTCGGGGGCGGGGGGTCCGGCGTGGGGATGGCTGGTTGGAGGGCTTGGGATGCTGGTGCTGTGGCGGTGTCTGCAGAGGGTTTCGAGCGTTTGCAGGCATTCAGGCTCCCGGTTGGTGGGGTGGAGGAATGTTGGGGTGTCCGGGCAGGGTGGGGATAATAAAGAGGTAGGTAAGTGCTGCTGAGGAGGAAGTGAAGAGCGTTTAGGGAATAGACGACGGTGGAAGGTCAAATAATAAATGGTTTTGGACAACAAAGTTAGGCAAAGACGTTGGGTCTTAAAAATTTTTTGACTCTGATGAACTGAGCACTCAGTCAATCAGTAGTACTTACTGGGATGAATTAAATTTGTCGGTGGAGAAGACTAAGCTTCCTGGAATGCAGAGGGATGGAGTTGGTCAAAATTTGTTTATTTGAAGTATGATAGATGATGCTGTAAACGTAAGCATGGATGTCTTATATATATATTTTTATAGGAACTACCCATCGTATGTATGTGTAAATATCTCTCTTCTTCCATTTCTGAGAATGGGCCACTTAGGAATCTGCTGCTGAGACCGCTGTAGTCAAAGTCTGTTAACAGATTTTTCACTTCTCCGCTAAGTGTCTTGAAAAGAGAGAACCACATTTGTTGAATAACATCCCCGTGTCAGATGTAATTGTACTTACTGGATAAGAGTATACTCGAACTTCTGACTTGAGAAATGCTAGGTATCGACATTTTGTCATCATAGTTGGCATCTTGAATGATACAGTAGTGTTTCGTCCTGACATTTGGGGTAGAGGGGTTAGTCATTACGTGAAGGTCGGGTCGATTGTCTTGCTTGAGAGTTTTGGAATTTTTATTGAGTTTTAGATGTTGGTCGGATTATGAGAAGTAATTGCTGTTAGCTGGTTAAGAACTGGTAGTGTTTTGTGCTTTTTCTCTTGAGGAAATTGTTGATCAAATATTAGTCATGTAGGAAGTTGGCTGTTTGCACAGTCATAATGAGGAAAGTTGATTTAGATCAGGGTTGAAGATGGTCGGAGTTGGTGTTATTAAATATGATAGGGCTAGAAGTTGAAACTCTTAGGAAAGTTATTGATTAGACTTAACAGTTTCTAGTTCCTCCGCAAAAATAATGTCTTTATTCACCTTTCTGCTTTTTTGTACATTATTCTGGATTCAGAATTGATGTTTTTCATTGAACATTTGGGCTATAATGTGATTGTTATTTATAAATAAGCAGTTATATATGGTTGGGTCTGAGAGTCGATAGTGCGAGTGGCTAATAAGCCTAATAAAGTAGCGTGTGCAGAATTTAGTTGTCTCTTTAGCTGCTATTTGCATTTTAATTTTTAGTATTCTTAACGAACACAAACATGTTAGCCTCCATATATGTATACAAAGATAGCGTGAAAGATGTGAGAAATAAGAGAATCAATCACTGCCGTTCAAGAGAGACTTATATGACATTCGTTGTGGGCCAGGCACCATATGAACTTCAGTGCACTGTAGGCTATGCAATAGGGAATTGGAAATTCTGACCTTTTTTTAAATGGTAAGATTATTACAATTTGTATTTGAGACAAGAGTCTTGCTCTTGCTCTGTCACCCAGGCTGGAGTGCAGTGGCACAATCTCGGCTCCCTGCAACCCCCGCCTCCCGGGTTCAAGTGATTCTCCAGCCTCAGTCTCCCTAGTAGTAGCTGGGATTACAGGCGCCTGCCACCCCTCGGTCTAATTTTTAGAGGAGACGGGGATTCACCATGTTGGCCAGGCTGGTCTTGAACTCCTGACTTAAGGTGAACCGCCTGCCTTGGTCTCCCAAAGTGCTGGGATTACAGGTGTGAGCCACCGCAGCCCTGAGTATTTCACTTTCTAAGAATCTCATTAATTACTTATTTTTCTGGTGAGGTTTAATATTCAGAAGAATTAATAAGAGTCTGTTTTAAAACTCAAGCCAGGTTTGATTTTGGCCAGGCTCTTGAGGTAGGATGATACAGATTAGGCAAGGTCCAAGGAATCCTTTTTTTTCCCCAGTATGGCTCTGGGTCTTGTCTTGTGTGCCCCAAGGTCAAACTGTGAACCAATTCAAATTCCATGCTTTTATATTTAAATGGAGCCCAAGTTTGAATAATGATAATTTCTTATTCATTTGCGGGACATTTTAAACATATGTTTGTGCTTTACATTTTATTTTATCTTTACAACAATTCTGTGATGTTATATATGACTTATTTTTTTAATACAGTACTAATTATTTTCTCATTGAGGCACAGAGAAGTAATTTGTTTCTCATTGGACAGGTAAGGACAAAATGAGAACTCAGATTTCCCAGCTCTCAACTTTGTTTTCTCTGTGTGCAAGTAGAGAGTTTCAGATCTGTAAGTTTGAGTACATGTATTTAGCTTACTGGTTCTTAAAGGGCATAGATTGGAGGAGAAGCAGCTGTTTGTTAATCGTATGAAATAAATGTTTTATCCCTCTCCACTCCCTGTTCTTACCTGCCATGAATCCCAAGAGGACAGACTGAATTGGAGGGTTGTGTAGGGAGTGTAGTTTACATATGCTTTCCTGGTGAGAGGGACCTGTCCTCCCCTTCTTGAGAACTGTTGATTAAATAGTCACATACCTAATTTCAGCAATAAACATTGGCCTCTCCTGACTTATATTTGAAAGTAAGTTTATATTGAATTGCAGAATTAATAAACATTTTAGGGGTTTATGTTTCATTTTAATATTTTATTTTACACAAAAGATTGAAGGTATTATCAAGTTGAATAGTTTTAACAGTTTTATTGACGGAGAATCTGTGATACAGGATAGTACTATTTGGCTTGACATTGGATACATTTTCAACATTCAAAGGAAGTCTTTGTAATTTTTTTCAAAATTTTCTTATATGGTCCATTTAACGAGACTGTAAGTCTCGTCTGTATTTGAAAGATGACTTCTGTTTTTTATACTGACTCCTTTTTTAAACAATTCTATAACTACTGCCTTTATATTAGCTTTTCCAAATGTCTCAAATGAAGTTTTCTACCTCTGCAAGTCCCAGTCATTCTTGCAACAGAAATATGCATTTGCTCTTTACGGGAAGGTTAACTTTTAACCATCTGCTTGATGAAAATAGGATCTCCATTAAATAGAGCTACCATTCAGTAAATATGTGACTGCCTATTTTGTATTAAACTAAGATTCTCTCTTCTTAAGGAGCTCATGATTTGATTCGAAGAATGGTTTTTAACTGCATAATTATAATATAACCTGGCATCATTTCCTCTCAGTATCATGGCAGATGTTAGTACTATTGATGCTTCTTAGTGCCTTGGCAAATGTTAAAATTCTAATGGACTGTGCATAGCACAATATATAGCCATTACCTATTAATTACATTTAGTACTAAAGATGAAGCCCGTTGACCATTCTTGTTACTATAACTGGTATTCAAACTTTTTTTTTTTTGAGATAGGGCTCTCCCTATGTTGCCCAGGCTGGTTTTGAACACCTAGGCTCAAGCAATCTTCGTGCCTTAGCCTCTCAAGTAGCTGGGATTAGAGATGGGTGCCACCACCTGTAATCCCAGGCTATTTTTAATAGTCTGAAAAATGCCCAGCTCTGTTTTTCAGACTATTAAAAAGTTAGACTGGGCATCATGGCTCACTCCTGTAATGCTAGCCCCTTGGGAGGCCAAGGTAGGAGGATTGCTTGAACCCAGGAGTTAAAGACCATCCTGGACAACATGAGGAAACCCCATCTCTACAAAAATTAACCTGTGTGATGGCATGTTGCCTGTAAGTCCCAGCTACCCAGGAGGCTGAAGTGGGAGGACCACGTAAGCCTATAACGTTGAGGCTGCAGTGAGTTAGGATCACACCACTGCACTCCAGCCTGGGTGACAGAGTGAGACCCTGTCTCCAAAAAAAAAAAAAAAAAAAGTGAAATAGAATATAACATATCACAGAATCTGGCGTAATAAAGATAGTAACAGTTTGTGCAGAAATGTATATGCAATGTATTTCTCACTGGACATATCAGTAAAATAAATTTTAAAGTCACTGAATTATAGGACTGAATTTACTCTGATAGATAGAAAAATGGAAAATTGAAGTAGCTTTTCTTTTTAGACCACTGTGAGGTTATAAATACAGGACTAAATGTGATGTTAAAGCATATTCAGTTTCTGAAATAAACCATCATTTATCACTTAATTATTACAGTAATATCAATCAAGAACTTCTTTGAATCTGCAAAACTCAAACTTGTTGCTTCTTTTGCTTTATAATACATGTGCCATTTGGATGACAGTGATGAAATATACTCTACAGGAGCTGATACTGTATTTTTCATCAGATCTATCGGTACTGTCAGACCTATGGACTATCAGGTGGTGGGGCATCAGCATCAATGGCAGCAGAAGACTTCTATGGGTGAATTAAGTGGTAGAGAAAATAAAGATGATTATGAAACAAGATAGACTATTAACTTTGAATTGCAGTCTATAAATTGAGAAGGAGGTACTTGTGCAACAGTAGTTCATTACTAAAGAATGTGTTGATAAGTAGTTATCTTTTCCTTTTACAAATTTTTATACCTTTTCTAATAATGGGCCAACATTACATAGGTGGTATGTTCCATCTAAGAACTGTTACTGATTAAAGTAACTGCAGCCTTAAACCTTGTTGCTTACTTTTCCTTCTTGTATATGTATGTATGTTCTTAATGGTGATTTCTTTGTTTTATATAATTATTTTAACCTCATACCCTTTTCCTCAGAAAACTTCCACGGCTTGGGAGTAAAGGCTTTTTTGACGGTGGAATTAGCCCATCGTCTTTTTCCTGTTAAAATTTGTATTACAGGATGAGTATCCTTTATCTGAAGTGCTTGAGATCAGAAGTGTTTTGGATTTTAGGGTGTTTTGGTTTTGTTTTTGAATTTTAGAATATTTACATTATATTTAT